GATTAGAATCCACTTTAAATGGGACAGATCCAAAAACAAAAGGAGAGTCCACAGTCCACACATGAGAATGGGCTGGTGGAGTCACTTTCCCTTGGATGGATTTTTCCACATGAAGATTTTTATAGGCAGGCCCAATAAAGTGAAACATGTTATTAAGGATTGATGTTGCCAACTTCCAGGATTCTGTCCATCAAAATGAAGAAGCTGGATTCTTTGAAGAGGAATCAAAAAAAAAATTCTGTATCAGATCAATAACAATCTATTATATTATTTTAAAAAAATCACTTTAATTTTAAAACGAGAAGAACATCCCGGTCTAGTCCATGGTTTAATAATCTATGGCTCTTCACTCTAACCACTTGTTTGGCATGTGTCTGATCAAATGTTTTTTATCAATGCTTATAAAATTTCATTGACCCAAGCGGTTGAATCATTCGACTCAGGATTTAATCATCTTTTCAGGTCTGTTTTTCACCTGACCCATTATTTTGTAAAAAAAAAAAAAAGAAACATTGATTTAGTCAACAAAATCGTTTGTCGGATGGTCTAATCATCAAACCGTTTGGCTGATACCATTTTAGATTTTAAATATTTTATTATATTGGTTATGATGTTAAAGGCCAACCAATTCGAACAAAATGGTTGAATCAGAACCACTGACCCAAAACCCAGAGGCAAAAATTATTCTATTTTAAGTCAATTTTTTAATAAATTTTATTATAAGATTTAGGGTTCAGCAATTTAAAATTTTGGGATTTAGAGGTTTAGGATTTAGAATTGTAGGAGCAAAACAAAGCTCGATTATCATCATATTAATTCAGCTCCTCAATATCAAAGAATTTTGAATTTTTTTATTTGAGTTGTGCTTCAACAGTAGTAAACCCACATTGACCCGACCCTATCGGGTTATGGTCATGGTCAGATCATCCTTGACCAAATTTTGATTGAAATCGGCCTATGTCAAACCCAAGTTGTTGATATAATAGCATTGAAACAATTTTCAATATAACCTTACTTGAGTACAGGTATACTAAATGGATTGGATTTGGTTTCTCATTTCGGGGTTTGGGTTGAACCAAATCCATGCTAAACCCGATCCATTGACAATCCTATATTCCTATATGGGCTTCAGTGGACATTACTACGGGAACAGACATATTGTAGCCTTAGGGTATGATGGGCAAATCAGAATCGCCCACATCAGCTTACGTTTGGGAGAATCTTAAATTTCACATAATCACATCATAAGAGTATAAAAACATGAGTGATCTGGTTGCTTTTGATTGGCCTGCCTGGTCTTGGATAGGTATGCTATCATCTGATCTGTCATTAGGGTTGAAATAATATCACTTTTAAGTCTTATCTTTATGTTTTACCCTATTTGAGCCAAATGCTAATTTTCCTTTAATAGCATAGTCAAAGTTTATTGTGTAACTCTTTTGGTTTAGGGCTTTTTATTTTTATTTTACTGATAATACCGCGGAGAGCCCGCAATAACACGGGCATCTTGCGCCTCCATATTTAGAGGGGTGCTGAATGACCATCTTAACTACTGTATCATTGGCAAGGAATTGTGAATTCTTAGTTAAGGCTTCATTTGTTTTGGTCTGAAATAGGAAAAATCTTTTCCAAGCTGAAATATTTGACCTAGACTTTTTGGCTTTTAATATCCCCTTCTAAGACCTCAATTCAAATGAGTGGAAAACAAAATTTCTATTGTAAAATGGACATAAACAATAGCTGAAAACAATTCCATCCATTTCCTTTTACGTATATGGGCGGTTGGGACGGGGTGCAATATGTAGGGGTGTAAATTTTTCACCTAACCAGCTGAATCCACCCAACCCTCTAAGCCACTTAACCTTTTCATTTATTTGGTGGGTCGGAAATGGGTTGATCACCTATTGGGTCAATTTAAATGGATTGGGTTGGGTTGGGTTATGGATAATCATTGGGTTAACCATTATAGATATAAGTATTAATTCCTTAGCCTTTTTTTTTATTTTCTTCATTTGAATGAAATAATTTATAATTAATGCATTAATTTTTTATTAATTATTGATTAAAATTAATTTTATCTCGAATAAATATACTTCACCCAAATCGACATAAATCCAAATCAACTTGATCTAAATATGAATAGACATGATCACCTCGTTTTGGTTCGTTTGGGTCGATCAATCGGTCCAAGTCAATCCGCCATTGACTGAATTGGTTTGATCAGGTCTGACTAGCATAATCCAAATCTAAACGGTTCAACCACCCTTGATGTGATTAGCTCGAAGACAATCCAATTAGATAGTTCAAGTTGGTCTAACCAGTTTGAACCTAAGTGGTTCGGTCAAACCTGAAACCCAGACATAGTCAAATGGTTTTGCCACTTGTGTAAAGATAACATACATGTAATGTGATTTGAACATTTACCACTTGTGCAAATAGCAACTACTATTACCATCAAGCTATGAGCAATTTATTTGTCAAGAGAGAGTTAGTTTTTTGTTAAGTACATAAATATAAAATTAATGGATTTGGGCAGATTGGATTGGATTAAAGCAGGTTTGGGTTGAACCCAACCTATTTAATTTTATATAAATGTGTCATTAATGGGTTGGCAGATTAAATGGATTGGGTTGAAACTCAACCCAAACCAAATCCAACCCAACCCTCTCAATTGCCACTGCTAGCAATATGCTAGATGCATGTGTAGGCCCATTTGTTTAACTATGTAGAGAACCTATCCTCCAATGGGCTTCAACCTACACCTCTTCAAAGGGAAGGGCATCAGGTGACCAAGTGAACTATGAGCACGGATCTTCTACCCACACCCTATCCACACGACACTACAGTCATACATCAAAAACATTTCTTATACTTTGTTGTCATTCATGGAGAGATATTCACTGTTTGTGGCTGTAGTGCCTTGTGGGTAGTATGGTTAGCGTTCTAGTGGGTAGCAGGTTTGGACTCTTGAATTATATGACCATTGGCAATTTTGCTGTGCTTCAAAAAAAACCAAGGCTCAGTTTGGAAAGAATACGAAGGCAAATATGTACAATACAAATACATACAAAATAATATAAAATATAAGATTTTACACTCTACATATTTACATTCCTACTTCTTCCAAAATAATAGATGAAATATTTCTACCTGAAAAAAAAATTCCATCAATTTAATGGGTAACATATGCAGCCTCAAAGAAATCAGGAAAAGACAAAGAACCCAAGATTTGCAACCATGTGCTTTGTCCATAGAAAAGAAGGTGTCAAAATGGAATAGCAATACAAATTGAACACATTCACAGTAGATGTATATAGCATTCTTTTAAAATGCTTAAGCTTTGAGGTGTGAGACGTACGTCATAAGATGACTTTGAGGTGAGGCGCATAAATTTTGTCTCAAGACTTAAACCTCACAATTTTGATCTGTCAAAATGAAGCATAAGTCTCAAGCCTCAAGGTTGAGGTGTAAATAGGTGTAAGCCTTAAGCCTCAGTGATTACTTTGTGATTTTAAGCAAAAAAAAAATGCATTTTTATAATTCAAAACATAATAGAAAAGTGACCCTCTGAAAGTGACCTTATTTTGTCACATGGGGAGAGAGGGTGATATGAGATATGTGAACCCTCTTGAATTGTTGGTTGTGTAAATGACCCTCTAAAAGTAAGATTTCACACCTTACCAAATAACAAATTCACATGAAAGAATAGCACTTTCAGGCAAGTTTGGTTTTGCTTAAAGAAAGGCTTTGTCTCTTTCCTTGCAATTGACTGAACTGTTTTAGCTTTGTTTGGGCAAACTAAAGGTCATTAGGCAATGTTGATCCCAACTAGGTAAAGACTAGGGATCAAATCCTTGCCACCAGGGTTGGGAGGTTATGGGTATTGGGGTATGGTCTCCCCCCAGTTGTGTAGTCCAATAAACCAACCATAAAAAGAAAATTATAACATTATTTTCATATTTTGCACAAAGTGATCACTCTTAGGCCCCGTTTGGGAGTATTTATTAGATGAATGTTTGGTGAAAAAAGCACTCGTATCAGGGGCTTATTTTCCAAATGCACATAAATGATTATTGATGTGGTTGTGGCTCAAAATAAGTGTTTATTTGAATAAGTACTCCCAAACAGAGACTCAGACTTCAATCAACATTGAATAAAAGAGAAGACTAAAGCCAAGTAAAATGAATGATTGGTCCAGACTCCGGACTGGAACTATTTACCACCTAACCATCATGTTAATTTTGACAAAGATTAGTCATGCTTTAATTGCATTTATTTTTTTATCAAAACACTATTAAAATTATTACATTTTAATAATATATTACTAAAAGGTTGAAAAAATGTATGCTTTTCAACAGTCTTTTGAACCTGGGTCCTGAGTGAGAGAAAAAGAAAAATGGAAATTTGGGACAAAGAGACTATGAGAATGAGAGGAAGCAACGCAGCCATGACCCATAATCAGTAAAGCACAACACAGTTTTAGGTTTTTGTCTTTTCCTTCTTTAAAAGTGAATGGCTCTAACAGATCAGCACTCAATAAATGTGTTCTGTGTTCTTTCCATGTTATTGTGCAATAAATCTCTCTCTCTCTCTTCATTTCTTCGTTACCATATTGGAGGGTTCAAGTCTTCTGACTTCTGAAAGGCTTCCCCATAAATCATGATACCAAAACTGCCCAACTATTTTTCTCTCTCTTTACCAACTTTTCCCTTTTATGATTTATTCTTTTATCACACTTTGAATCAATTGGTTTTGAATTTGAAAAATCAGACCGGATTGCATCAGTAAACAAAGAAAACTGAGAACTGGGCAGCTTTTCCTTTAGGCTGTGTTTGGTTTCCCTACATTTTCCTTCAAACCAAACACAGCCTTACTGTTTGAGTGGTAATTGTTAAACCTTCGAGTTAAATCAGAAGAGGAAGGACATCAGAGAAATAACTCAAATATTTAAGGACCTTTCCGTCGTTCTGTTGATAAAACAGTGTCATTTTAATCGAACAGCAAGTAAAAAACCCAACACAAACGAGTCTGTCGTCGTCAAATTGCGAGTTCTGGACAATTTCTGTAAATCCTGGAAGAAATAGAGGGTAATGTCGTAAACCGAACAAAGAAGCGCCTTTGTTTCTTCGTCCGCCCGCCTGAAACAGCCGTTACAGCGTCAATGGAGTCGTAGGGATCAGAACAGGAAAACGGAGGGTTGAAGAAGCAGAAAGAGGGTAGAACCGGGGAGGAAGAGAATTTTCTTCGAACTCCCTCTCAAATCCTTGGACGACTTCTGAAATTTCTACCTTTTTGGCGGGGTACGTTTCTCTTTATCTCTCTAACTGTGAGCTCCTTGTAGGCCATGATTACAGAGACCGATCTCTCCAATGGTTTTGTTCACGGAACAGAGAACTCTCTGAGCAGACTGAAACAACACGTCTCCGTGCAAAACCTCGAGACCCCAGATGGGAAAATCGGTTTTTCTGAAAAGGGTTCCGATTTTCTGCGAGGTTCGGAGATTGGTCGTAATGGGTTTCCGTTAAAACCGTCGAGAAATGGAAATTTAGGTGCTCAGGAGCTGACTCTGAGCTACCTGTGCGATAATTCTAAAATGGATTTTCAGGACAAAGATATTTCTGGGAAGAATTTGTTGAGTTCTTTGGAGAAAGGGAGATATAAGGGAAAGGAAGTGGTTCCGGAGAACCAGAATGAAGAGGAGAGATGGGTAGAGAGGGATTTTCTGCAGTTGACCGGTGCTAGGGGAGCAGGGTCGAGGCGAGAGTTCGAGGAAGAGGAAATCGACAGAGACAAGAGGGAAAAGAAACCAAAGATTGAGACCCTTAATCTCTCTCTAGCTTTGCCGGATGTCTCACTATSCCTCAACACTTCGAACCCAGCTCCGAAAGCTGACCCTCCTGTTCATCTGAAGTCGGTGAGGAGCACTCATTCATTGGCGCCGTCATGCTCCGATGACTATACGGCGGCATCACGTTCGTACTCTTACTCCCTCCCCTTCTCTCACAATCCCAGCTGCTCACTCACGCGAAACTCGACCGAGAATTATGAGTACTCGATGGGAAGCCACCGAAGAGAGACTGATCAGTTTTGGAATTGTGGGGAGGGGACTAATGGCTCAGTTCACAGTCGGTTCAGGCCAGTCGGCGACGGAGTTGGTCTGTCGAACCATGGTGGTGGTTTCAGCCACCCCTTGATGCAGGGAGGCCGCCCGATCAATAAGGACTCTTGCAACAGTCTTTACAGAACTACAAGCTCCGATAACCATTCGTTCTTCCCGTCTGAACTACCTGCGAGGCCAAGAAAGGATACTTTATCAGCCAACTCGAGAGGAAGAGCTTCTGAGCAACAAATAGGTTTGGAGAACTCAGACGGAGGGAGAGCACGTAAATTGACAAGCCCCGAGAGGATTCTACGAGAAATTGTTTATGAGTCTATTCCTATAATGGCTCAAATACTTCACGAGCTTCCTGATGAAACAATTGAATCGACCAAAGAGTGTCTGAAGGGTCTAATTGAGGCGCCTGAAAAGAGAGAGGAGTTGGCCATCTTACAGACTCAGCTCGAGAAGAGATCAGATCTTACTTTTGAGACACTTTCGAAGTCAAACAAGGCGCAGTTGGACATCTTGGTTACAGTAAAAACAGGTCTTGTGAACTACTTATCGGGAAAGAACCGGCTACCAACAGCTGAGCTGGTGGAGATCTTCTTGTTTATGAGATGCCGGAATCCGAACTGCAAGAGTTTGTTGCCTGTCGATGACTGTGACTGCAAGATATGTTCGACAAAGAAGGGATTTTGTAGTAGTTGCATGTGTCCTGTCTGTTTGAAATTCGATTGTGCCAACAACACTTGTAGTTGGGTTGGCTGTGATGTCTGCTCTCACTGGTGCCATGCTATCTGTGGCCTCCAGAAGAATCTCATTAAGCCTGGACCCAGCTTGAAAGGGCCCAAGGGATCGACCGAGATGCAATTCCATTGCGTTGCTTGTGGTCATGCTTCTGAGATGTTTGGATTCATTAAGGATGTGTTTATGCATTGTGCAAAGGATTGGGGACTAGATACCCTGATAAAGGAGCTCGAGTGTGTCAGGAATATCTTCAGAGGAAGTGAAGATGTCAAGGGAAAGGAACTACAAACTATGGCCATGGAAATGCTCTCAAAGCTTGAGAATAAAATCATTGTTCCTTCAGATGCCTGTGACTTGATGCTTCAGTTCTTCCAATGTAAGTTTCAGAACTCGGGAAGTACTATCCCTTAATTTTTTTTTTCCCTACCATCTTTTTTCTATTTGGTAGTTATTATCTTTCTCCTGTCAACTGAAAGATTCTTTATTTACTAATCATTCTTACTGAACCAGTTACATGAGCTGTCAATTTGGTCTCAGTTGCATGAATTTTCAGGGGTTCTCTATTCCCAGTGTCATTGTGGTTAGCTTTTTTTCCATGGTCATAGTGTACCTGTGGATAGATGAGAATGGTTTCTTAATATGATGTAAATTGTAGGTTTATATAGTCATAGGCTTTGATTCTTGAAAAGCATTCCTAGTTTTCCTTGATATACCAGATACTGCATGGATACTTCTAGATGTACTCTATAGTGTTAACACTTTTAAATTATGTAAAGTGGTATGTTTTAACAAATTATACTATAAAATTATCTCATGTTAGAAATTTAATTAAACTTGGCAAGACATAAGTTTTGAGAAATGACACTAAACTTCAAAAACTAGATAGAAAACACCATGATATAAGCATAGTCCATGGAATTACCAGTGCTTGTATCCGCGTCCAAGATTTTAGGAAATGGAGAGTTGTATCCCATTTCCCTGTATCTGTGTCCATATCAATATCTATATCGGGGTATCATAGGTTTCAAAGCATGATGGCAGTTTCCTTGTTAATGTTGTCAAGATTGATCATATTGAAGAGTAATGGAATAAAATTTTAGATAGCATTCTAACACCTATTACTGTTCTATCATTTATGATTCATGGATATGCTTTGAATACAAAATGGTTTACCATTCAGGAGTAAGAGCCTTTTATATTGTTAAAACAAATAAATATGACTTGAGCCTTGATTTATTAATTTTACAAGATTGCCTTTATTCAGGTGGTTCCAAGGAACAATTGCATTTCTTAATTTAAAAAAAAAAAAATCAACTTCTTTTGATATGCAATTAAAAACTTCTAGGTGACAAACTTACCTTACCAGTTACAATCAAAGATTGTATTTTGTGATATTGAAGATGTAGAAAATTTTTGACTGGGAACTAAAGATTCATTATCCAATTTAATAGTAAATGATCAAGGTTCTCTTATTAGGTAATTACTTTGTTTCAGTGCTTTTTTCCCAATCCTAGTTGTAACTTGATAATTTGTTATTAAACATAAAATCACACATACTTGAAAATGTTCCTTAATTTTGAAAAGGAATTAAGATAAATTGTTTTGAAGAACATTGAGTTGCTGCATCTTGGTTGTGATGCATTTGCCACTGGTTACTGCATTGATCACTGACCAATGGAGTGATTGTAGAAGACTATGTGCTAGGATATATGTCCTCTTGTGGTTTAATAATTGCATGATGCCACCAATGTCCACAATTGTTCTGGTGCAGTCTGATGGTACATTATGCAATTTAGGTCTTTGCTTGAGCCTTGGGAAGGCTTTTACTATGTTAAATATTCTATCGGTAGATTGGTAACATAAGCAAACTGTAGTATGTTGGGGAATGTATTTTGAGATGCTATCTTTACCTGCAGATAGTGGCATGGTTGCATCCTTAATCCTTTGAATTAATTGTCTTCTTCATTTTCGGTCAGACAGCTTTCTATGAGGAGGGTTCTTGATTTTTGCTTAGCCTTAATTTGATATGGTCCTTCATGGTGGTGATAAATCTAACCTTATGGTCCAAACCATGCGACTGAATTTACTCTTTCCATGTTGATATTTTTTGTTAAGTGATCACATGTAACCCATTGGTGATAAATCTGACCTTAGGATCCTAATCAGACAGTTAGCACTCTTTAATTGTCTGATAAGGATAAGATATTTGAACATGTTAACTCTGCTGCTACATAAATCTTCTTTCATTGACAATCTCTGTAATATATACATTACAGATGGCAGCATATCAGAGATTCCTGCGTCGAAAGGTTCTTCCCAAGAATTGATGGCATCTCAGTTATGTCAGAGTGATGTTGTCTCTCTTCCACCTCCAACTTCACTCTCCGCAAAGCCTACAACTTACAATAGTAGCTCCTCAATCATAGGAAGAGATTTGCAGCCACGCGATGTTCATTGTAACGGCCTTAAGAGCAATGTCACTGTTGAAAATGAGTTGCGGTCTGGGATGTCATTGAAGGATGGCTTTGACAGCTTGGAAGGCATTGTTCGGATCAAGGAAATGGAAGCCAGAATGTTCCAGAGCAAAGCAGATGAAGCACGGAGAGAAGCAGAAGAGTATCGACGAATAATCCAGGCAAAAACTGAGAAGTTGGAAGAAGAGTACACAAACAAGCTCTCGAAACTGTGCTTGAAGGAGACAGAGGAGAGGCGGAGGAAGAAGCTTGAGGAGCTCAAGCTCTTGGAGAACTCACACTGTGACTACTACAAGCTGAAGGTCAGAATGCAAGCTGAGATTGCAGGCTTGTTGGAGAGAATGGAGAAAACAAAACAGATGTGGGTGTAAACCTTGTAGGTAACCATGGTGATGTCTAATGCGTATGTTTCATGCTTGCAGTGTTGGGTGTATCTAGATTTTGGATAATTTCTTTAATTTGTGAAAAAGGAAAATTGTAATTTGTTTTAAAAGTTTTATGATGACCCATTGGAGCATTTTTTTCAGTCTTCCAACTTTTTTATTTTATTTTGGCGGGGGGGTGGATTGGGCCGAGTTGGGTTCGGATTCTTCCAACCCATGTTGTATCCCTTGTACTGATCATAGATTCATAATCAGGCAGGAATCAAAACCATAGTGCATAGTACCATTGAATATCCCATGTCTAGAATAACCAATGAAGCTACGGATGAAACTTAGGTGGGCTGGGAATTTGAATGGGAACCGGGCCCAATGCTGTGTAAATTCTTCAAATCGGATATCCAATTTACACCCCTACTGGAAATATGGGCAGACCCGATAGGTCCAAACTATAGGGTCTGGGTCTTCAATTTTTCCATATTATAATTGAGTTGGGATAAGTTTTGGTTGTTTTGAACCAACTAATGCTGCAGTGTCGGTTGGGCTCAGAACGGGTCCACCTTAACCCGACCCAAAACAGGATTATGGTTGATCCAACCCTAACCCAATCCACTTACATCTCTAGCCCAAATCACTCTAAGGGTGGATACGAACCAAACTTCTCATGAGACATTTGAGCTCAACTCATGAAAAGTTTGATTCGATTTGGTCGAAATTGAATTTTATATGTATAATTTTTATATTTTATATGAAGTTTGACTCACCATCAAGCTCAAACCTCATGTTTTTCTGTCGAACCAACTGGAATCCATCCCAACTCCAATTGACAAAAACCAACAAAACATTAAAACTAGTTCTTTAGAAACTTTAAATGCACAGAAACAAACACCCTCTTTTATTATGTATCCTTTTCAAATAATTCTTGTATATAAACCAAATCAAAAGGAATCTTGTTCAGTTGTATCAATGGAACTTTCAATTATAAAGGAAAGGAAAGAAAGAAAATCCATACATTAGAAAAACACAGAAAAATTAAATCAAATAGTTGATACTCTGACGCTGATGGTGAAATCCACTGCAATGCCAAAGAAAAGGATGGCTAGTCCAGTGAAGTTCATCAGGCGAGATTCAGTGCCATGCCTCAAATTCATGACTGTTGCTTTCTCCATCAGCCCGCTCTCTGCTGTGCACACCGCCATGTATAACAGAGTCCTACCTCCAACCTTGTGCCATGGAAGCATCCTCCCCCTCGTTGAAACTTCTGCTCCGGGGAAAAAGAAGGTGACAAAGCTATACAACCACTGCAAAAGTAAGACATCAAAATCAAGATCATCCAATTGATCAAAAGTTTAAGCTGCGTTTGGCGTGCTTCTACAAAATTGGTTATGGATAGGTGCATGCGAGGTTCATTGACATTACCAAGGAGAGCCTGCAGTCATGCGGGTTTGATCCCATGCCTCCAAGGAATGTTAAGAGACCATCTCAGGGAATCGGGATTTGCTCCTCACACCAGCCTAATAGAAAATCTCACCATGTATTGGGAACATCTCCCATGAGTAGAAACACTAAGTGTGGGAGATGTTCTATGTACAGCTAGGACGTGTTGTGAGATTGATGTAAGGGGCAGATCCGGGCTCCATCTCAGGCTTCTTAGAATTACTTTATGGAGCTAAATAAATTAGCTCCATATATAGAAAATATTTTCTTAAACAGTGATTCTTGGCTGATTCACTTGTAGCCACAAGGCATCCCCCTTAAAATGATACAAAATTTAGCATAGGGTAGTTTAGGTGGTGGCCCACCGTTCAAAAACAAAGCTGAGGTGGCAGCCCAGTAGATTCTCATGTTTTTCCATTCTACCCTATATCTATGGGTAAATTTCTGCCCAACAGCCCCTACCATATATTGTAAAAGGTCCTCCATAAGGGTAAATAAATACTCAATTCAACTCAAAAAGCCTTACCCCAACTAGTGAACTTTTTTTCTGTGATTCCTCTCTGTTCTACTGTGTTAGGAGGGTTAGAGTGTAAATGGTATTCAAAAATTTGAGTTCAAATTTGAAATTTGACGTAAACTTGGCTTGGTCGGGCTGAACCACCGCCTAGTCACCTACCCCCACACAAGGGCAGGTAGGTTTTGACTGGCTGGCCCAACCACCTTACAATCCATTGATTGTCCCATTCTCTTCAGGGTCATTACCCAATATTGGTTCCAGCTATTCAGGGTCTTGAAGATGTGGACTAAATACAGACCTAATCTTTGGCATGTTATTCATTAAGCAGCTACTCTCAGAGTCAAACCCAAATTCTCACCCTTGGCCCTTCTCTTGTTAGTATTCTCAAAAGATCTTCCAATGAAGCAAAGGAACATGAAATGCATTTTATAAACAGAACCAAGGTTCAAAATATCGATACACTCCAATACGGCAGAAGGGGTGTATCAGTACTTTTCACCACACGCACATCATTTTTTTAGTTATTTTTTTCTAAAAAATAGGGAGAGGGGTAGGTTTAACCATTTAAGTATTACTTCACATTTAAAAAAGTCAGTTTTGGGATTAGCCTTAAAAAAAGGCAGTCGATACAATACAATACACCCGATATGAAGTGTATCATGTCGATACTTTGAACCTTGGACTGAACACATTCAGAGCCAGCCCAAAGTCATGTTCATTTCACTGGCTAAAGGCCGATATAAACCCATTTGCTTCACTCTGACTATCTCAATTCAGAGCACCACCTTCAGCAAGCATTAGATTAAGCCCATCTGAATTCTGAAAGTGCCCATTGGCCAGCCTACCCCATGTGCATCAGTAATTAATGTTCAGGAACCAGACTCAATCTAATCCACAAAACAAGACAGTTCTAATTCAATCAGTTTCAACCCAAAATCAAGCAATGTTCACTATGGACCCCTGAAGTTTAAAGGTTGTTACCTGCAAACAGAACAAGCAGAAGGTGCCCATGCCTAGCCATGAATGCAAACTAAACATGTTTGGTATCCCAACCTCATTGTGAAACTTGAAGGCAGCATTGATTCCCACAATTCCCAGAACAATAGCAACAAGGTGAAGCAACATGTGAATAAACTTCCGAACCTTCTTCTCCATGGGGAACGTTTTATAGGCCATAATTGCTACTCACACAACCAACACTGTCAAATTTATGGACTTATAATTAACCAACTACACAGACACAAAACCGGATTCTTACCTTCTCCGGCGAGAAAAACAAATCCGGCATACATTAGAAATGGATGTACCTGCAGTGTTTTGTTCCACAAGAAAAATTACAATTTTTTTTTCTAATGCCAGTGGAAAATCAAACAAACAGATTTCTAAGGAGTGTTTGTACATTGAAAACTTTATCCTTGTTATCCGAATCTAGATCAAGACCGCCACGAAAATGCAACAGCCAGGTGAGCAAGAGAATTGCAGCCAACACGCCGAAAAAGTGTCCAACTGCCGTGGCACGGGAAGGCCGCCGGCGAAGGCTGGATCCCTCTATGTTGTCCATGGAGGGTAGGAGAAGGGAGCAGGGGTGGAGTGAATGTTGTAATGAATGTGTGAATGGGTTTGTTTAACATTGCATTTAGGGGGGAGGGGGTTATTATATGTGAAGGTTCAAGAAGGTTGCTTGGTTGTTTCGGTTTGGTATCATACAAGGAAGAGAAATTTAGCAAGGCATCCTATGAGTAGCAGCATCTACAGAACCAAAGGCTAAAGCAACTGTCCAAACTCCTGAGCCCTGAGAGAATAGTTCTTTTCTTTATAGGCTTACCTAGCTAACCATCCTGTCCAAGTACAGACATATCCATCAAAACCATCAATTTGTCCCTTCATTGAACAATCAAAATCTGGATGTTTAACTTATTCACCGAGCTTGATCACTTCCCATGGCTTTATTGATGGTTGACAAGCAGTTTGAGAGATGGACCTTGGATTAGATAGCTCAGATCAAGAGAGATGACCCTGACTGATAAAGATGGTTTAGAAAGGATTCTTCCTAGGCTGTTATATCCCTTGCTTTGGAATCATTCCCATATTTCTGTCCATTTGCCAAATGAGTCGGGCTTTTCGTACACAACCAGGCCATAGCAAGAGTTGAAGAGAAACGAATAGATGAAAACCTGCAGAAGGTAATAGTGACAGATGATAAAAGAGTTCTTACGACAAAAAGCCTTTATGAGGTGAATCACTGAACTATCTAAACAGACTTAAAACTTTTGATGACAATTATTTAAGCTAAAAGGAGTTGTTTTGATCCTTGATCTATGCCTAACTGCCTATCTTGGAGGTGATCCTTGAAACAAACATGAATAGAGATATGTCATTTGAGGATTATGTACATCTGGGTTATTAAATTGGATTCGACTATGACATGGAAAAGATATGATATCAGAAAAACAACTGACCAATAAACTAGAATTATAAACATGGAAGCGAATCATGTGTTATTTATTAAAATTCATTAGTGGGTTTTGATTGGTCAAAACTCTTTCCATATCATAGATTTTCCCTATTAAATTAATAATTATCAAAGGGGTCATCCAATAGGAGGGGAAGGAGAAGAGTTTAAGAAAACAATGTTGTGAGACTCAGAGTAGACAAGACGGTCGGACCATTTGGACCAGGAACAGACAGCAAAGGCAGTTTGGGTTGCATAGGGGTGCAACTTGGGTTAGTCCGAGTCAGCATTTTACACTCCTTCAGGCTGGGCCCATTCAAATTTAACAAAAGTCTAACCTCCAAATTGCACCCCTAAGGTTGCGGGCAATTACACAATGTTGGGTATCTAGGAAGTCTTTGGGAGGGGTCGAGTGAATGCGGAACTATACCTTTTGGCAGCTTTTTTGCACAAACCTTCTGACTCAAACCCATATTCTCACTCTTGTCAGCATGAAATTTTACCATTACATCAAACAATACCCAATTTTTGGGTTGCCTATTTCTTACAAATGTCAAAGGCTGGATACGGTCCAAACCTGTTTTTTTTCTTTTCTTTGTTTTTTGCACAAAATAGACCCAAGGTTTTAAAAACAACTCGGAACCGGAACCAGTTTCCAGGTCAACAGTTCAACCACCTGGGTCAATGGATCACTGACCATATCAACAGTTTTTGGCCAAGGATCAGGTTGAGGGTGAAACGGCCCAACCACCCAGGCCAAGGGTCCAACTGCCCAGGTCAACGACGGTTTGAAAACACTGCTCAGACCTAGACCTGCTCATATATATATATATATATATATTTGCATTTTTATTCAAGTCAAATGGAACCAGATTTTTTTTTTATGTAAGAATCAGACAGTTAAACCATTCAAGCCATGACCCAGTGACCAAAATGGGTTTATGCCTGCTCGAGTCTGATAACATTGTACTAAAAAGTTACAGATCATGAACCATGTGGTTTTAATGTTAATCAACAACTTAGCCCATTCATTGGATGAGCTTGATTGACAAATTCAGCACCTGAGATTAGAGACTTCCCACAAGACCTAAATGAAAATCACTCTAAAAAAATAATTGAATTTATTTGATATAATAAAGTTGAAGTAAAGAATGTGATCTTGGAATATACAGAGCAGAAACAGATCGTTCCAATAAAACCCTTAGCCCAGATTAGCTTCTTTGAATCCATAATTGAGCAAGTTACTCGTACTTCTTACCTGAAAATGAAAATCATCCTCACAACTTTGAGCTAAATAGGGCCAGTTGCCCCACACAGCAAATGCAAAAAATTTATCCAGAGGAAATCTGTCCAGTTATTTTTTCCCCGAGTACAGTGGTAAGCCACTTTGGATCTGCTACAAACAAGGCGTGTGCAACAGGCTATGTAACCCAATCAAGCATGAACACACCAGTGCGCTGTACAACTGGCACCTGTACGGATGACTGACATAAACTCTTGATTGGGTTACGTAGCCAGCTGTACACGTCTTGTTTGTAGCAAACCCTTCCCGTGTAAAACACAAAAAAGTACCTACTACTGCATAAAAGAATGAGATCTATTCCTGCCTAATATATGGTGAGGAGCTAATTTCTGTACTGTAAAATGAATCTTCTCCATTAATAACATATTTATCATCCTTCTCATCTTCCCACTTAAGAATCTCCCTTGTATACTTGAATGCATCATCAACAGTACTTCGCTCATGGGCCCTGGTCTGTGCCACAAACAGCTTCCCGTTAGTGATAGAGGTATAGAGATTCTTAAACTTCATTGCAACATAGAAGTAAGCCTGGTTGGCTAGAGATTGATTGTTGTGATGGGGCTTCACTGGACTGAAGTCCCCAAACCACTCACAAACTGTTAAAGGAACCCGATTGATCTTTTCTTCAAATGCATCATACTTGTTGAGGAGGAGAATAAAAGGGGTATCCCTAAAACAAGGGTGTCTCACAACACTCTCAAACAGGTCCCTGCTTGCCAGCATCCTGTTGCACACTGGACCCATGCCCTGGGCCCGCAACTGATCATAGTCACTTAGGGCAACACAGAAGAGAACAGCCCTCACATCTTCAAACATTTCCAGCCATTTGCAGCCATCACCTAGTCCCTTTGAATTTACTCGAATTAGTTGGTACCTTTGGCTGTAATGGAAGTCGGAAAGAAGAAAACAAACAAGATCAGTCAATGACAAACACTAGTAGAAAGCACTAACAAAAGGATCATGAGGTTATATCATGTTAGTAAAAAAGTGGCACTAGCATTAAGCCACTTGCTAAAGTTTCAGGCATTATATAGTAAAAGGTATATCAGAGAGAAAGAGAGGTTTTACTTTGTCTGAGGGCATTCAAAGTTTTCATTGTATATCTCTGACATGGGACTATGATCATCCAGCATGAATTCAAGAAAGGCTACACCATTGCTCTGCGTAACTCCTTCAGCATATAAAATGTCTTTCTCAGATGGTTCATACTCATTGCTTGATATCTCAATAGCCTGCAAATTTACCAAAATAGGAAATCAGAAAACATATATGATTGTGCCATCATGGTAATTAAACCCCTCCCACTCAAAAAAAGAAAAAGAAAATAGAATTTCTTTTAATAAAGATCATACCAACACATCGATCACTGCTTGAGTGGGGGCACATATACATGCATGGCTATGCTATCTGAAGGCATAGGATAATCAAGAAAGAAGTAACAATGCAGTTCCATAAATGCAGACCAAGCTGTGAAAGATATGAATTTCCTATGTATGTGGGGGGAAATATGAATTCAGATCCTAAGTGGACCTGAAAATTCTCTCTTGCCCTTATGGTGGTGTGGCAACCAAAGGAACTTCTTGGATTGCAGTCCACCAGACCACTTTTCTCTCAGATCTAGGCTGATTTCCTTAGATTGATTTTAACAGTCAAACCAGTATCTAATATTACTTTCAGTCCTAGACTACTTGATGCAGGAATTCATTTCTGTCTCTACTTTTTCTTTTATCAGTCTTCCTACTTAATGCACTGTTTATGAAAAGGAAACTAGACATAAAATATTTGGGTTTTTCTTGACCAATACCAAATGCTGGAATGGATGACTCTCTGCTTCAGCAGTTTCACCATTCAAAAAATAAAAATTTAATGAAAATAAGGAAAAGGTTACAAAAGGGACGAATAAAAATAAAATAAACCAAAAAGTAACAACTTCAGTATTTGATGAAAACATTAAACTGTTTCTCAGACTGGATATAAACCTAATCTTTGAAATTTTTTTGCATAGTGCTTTCTCAGACTCAAACCCACATTATTTTTTTTTTGGAAAAGGTAAAGTAATATTTATTGAGATGAGAAATACACAATGGAGGCTGAGATCAGTCCCAGAAAAGGCCGACTGATCAAATCAGCAATTACACATTCCACCAGGAACTAGAAAGAAAAACAGCTGACACATTACAATTTCTGAAATCTTCAGATGCAGACACCCAAGACATCAGTTTGCCCACTGTTTTCTGAATTAGCTCTTCCAGACTTAAAACCTTGTTACAGAAAATCCTTCTATTCCTCTCAGACCAGATGCACCAAAACACAGCAATAGGAATCATCTTCCAAACAATCTTCTTTTTTCTTGCTCAAACCCATGAGCTTCCAGCAACACAACAGCCCCGTAACCGACCTCGGCATGACCCAACTCAAGTTCATGGAGCTGAGGAAATGACTCCACAGCTGAGCAGAAAACGGGCAGGATGCACAAATGGTCAGTGGATTCAGCACTACTCCCACACAGGCTGCATGACAGGTCCAAAATCTGAATGCCCCTTCTCACAAGGTTAGCTCTAGTAAGACATTTATTAAGAGCCATAGTCCAAACTAGGAAGTTAGATTTAGTTGGGCTGGTGGGATTCCACACTTGACGGCAAGGGAAATCAGGAACACCCCTACTACAGAGGTTAGAAGCCAGAGACTTGACAGAGAACACACCATCTGAGTTCCACTTCCACTGCCACTTATCCTCTGAACAGTAATCCAGCTCATGATTCTGAGGACAGGTCAACAGATTCAAAACCTCATCCACCTCCCAATCAAAAAAGTTCCTTCTAAATGAAGGAGACCAAAGAGCTGAACCACCAGATATGCTATAGCACTCTGCAACTGAAGCCTCTTGATTCAAAGCACACTGGAAGAGGAGAGGAAAGGAATCAGCAAGGGGTTCATCCGAGCACCAAGAGTCCTTCCAGAATTTGGTCCTAATACCATTGCCAACTTTAATTGAAACCCCAGCAGCAAGAGCTGAAAAATTCTTCATTATCCCCTTCCACAAAGAGTTACTCCAATTGGGAGGAGGGTCCCTCGTTCTCCAATTACCCCATTCCACACCATATTTGCTAGCAATGAGAGATCTCCACCAGGCATCATTTTCTGCAGCAAATCTCCAAATCCACTTGCAGAGGAGAGCAGAATTAAAAGATTTCAATTTCCTTATGCCTAACCTCCTTCATCTTTGGGGAGGCAGACTTGCTCCCAACTCACCAAATGCACTTTTTTCTCCTCCTCCCAACCTCTCCAAAGAAAACTCCTTTGAAGCTTTTCAAGCTGATTTGCAACATTGTTTTTTGATCAATGCTGATTTGCAACATTGTTTGGGATAGAAAAAAGAGACAGGAAATAGGTGGGTAAATTGGAGAGAGTAATCTTAATCAGAGTCACTCTACCCCCAAAGGAAAGGTATTTTGCCTTCCAAGAGGCCAGCTTTCTCTCCATTCTCTCAATTACCGAGTCCCAAATTGCAGAAGAACCACAACTCACTCCTAGAGGGAGCCCCAAATATTTGACTGAAAGGGACTCGATCTGACAAGCCAAGATTCCAGCACAATCTGCTAAATTGGAAACCTGACCCACTGGGATAATTTGACTCTTGTTCCAATTGACTAAGATCAGAAATCACTTCAAACCAAGATAAGATCCCAAGGATTAACTCCACCTATGAGGGGGAGGCATCCACAAAGCATAACATATCATCTGCAAATTGGAGAATATTCACCTTCTCACCCCCTGGAGCAAAATTGCAAAACCTTCCCACTCATCGGAAACAGTAGCCTTTTTACAGAATAAAGTGAGGATCTCCATTACACATATAAAGAGTAGGGGAGACAGGGGATCACCCTGTCTAAGACCCCTGGAACTATCAAAGAAACCTGCGGACTGTCCATTAACCAAAACTGAGAACTTTGGAGAGGTGATACAAACTTTTACCCAGTTCCTCCATTTCTGCCCAAAATTCATCTCTCCAACCTGGTTATTACAAAGGCTCTAGCTCTTGCATTTGCCATTTTGTGAAAGAAGTGTGTATTCCTGTCCCCCTCTTTCAGCCAAGCCACTTTATCTCTTTGCCTCCATTTAATTTCTTCTGACACTGCCAATTTATCAAACTTCAGATTTGCCTGAGATCTTTTTAGTCTATGCTCCTCAGAAATAGGACCCAACTCTTCTGCTGAATCAATTTCCTTTATGGTAACTCAGGAGAGCTTTCTTTTTAGTGTCTAAACTCATATTTTTCTCCAATTTCCAAATCTTTAATCTTGCTTTGATGGCCCCCAATTTTTTTTTCCAGAATGAAAGAATTGGTACCCAATACCTGCAGATCATCCCACACAGACTTCAACAAAGGAACAAGAGTGGCATCCTCAAACCAGAAACCTGTCCAGTCTCAGTGGGATTGTCTTGGTTGTTGGTCCAAGTAAACTGGCTACCATGAAGGGGTAAGTCTTGAAGCTCATCTGTTGATGAAATCGGCAAACTGAACCATATCCCTGGATCTTCTCCCTCTAGAGCTTCTCTCATCAGCAGACAAGGTGACATTAAAATCACCAACAATAACCCAAGGGTAAGATAAACTTCCCCTCGCCACGGCTAGCTCCTCCCACAGACTTCGATCATTAGGACCATACACATTAGTAATTTGACAAACATTACCATCTGCAAACTTCAAAACTAGGGAAATTGAGAAATTTCCAATCTGATAGGAAGCTAAACTACAAACCGTCGGATCCCACATACTCAGCAACCCCCCTGCACTCCTGACTACTAACTTTGATCTCCATCTAACTTCTCCCTCCCCCCAGATGCTTCTAACCACTGCAGCCTCAACACTATCCAACTTCGTTTCTTGGAGCAACACAACTTTACCCTGACTTCTTCAGAGACTCACACTACAAGCCTCCTACCCGACCCCAAACCCCTAACATTCCAAGAGAGCAATTTTAACTCCATTACAAACCTCTGAAGCAAAAGAAAGCTTGGCACTCAAGACTTTCTCCTCCCCCCCTCACACTCCCCTCACTACTGCCAGCTTTGTCGTTTAAACTCCATGTCAGTCGCATCATTTCTCTGCTTTTCTTAGATTTGTTACCTCCCTTCTTTGCTGCAACTTTCCCCCTTGCCAAAAGCACTCCCTCTAAATATTTGATTGTCTCCTCTTCCAACCCTTCTAACGAAATCCCCAGAAACTTAACCAAACCCAGCATCTTTGATGAGACCCAAGAAGAGGCACATGAACTCACTAGTTGTTTACCTACCAAACTCGACTGAGCCAACACCAAACTACTGATCTCCTGCGTCTGAACATCTATTTCAGCACCCACAGTAGTAGCACAAAACTTACTTCCTTCCGCCTGGGATCCAACACTGTCTTGATCATCTCCCCCACCTTCGGCCTAAGAGTCTGAAACCACCATCGCAATCGGATCCAACTCAATCAGCTCGTCTTCCACTCGCAGTACAGAAAACTGATTGGTCTCCAACTGAGACCCGGAGAAGTAGTAGGAGGAGGCATAGGCTTCAAAGTAGGCGAACGGAGGTCCAAAACTCCCCCCCCCCCCAACCCTTCTCCCTCCACAAAGCGATCAAACACTGGTCCTAGAACCCCAGTTGGCCCCTGAACCCATTAGCAGGTTGGTTGAACCAGCTAGGGATTCTGAGAGATGGGCTACTGTGTGCCCTTCGACTAGGAGGGGACCTGGGCTCACTATTTGCTTTGGGCCCAAGCCCAACATCTGAATCAAAGGAGGGAAAACCCGACTGGGCTGGAGGGGATGAGCCAAGCCCAGATCCTTCTTCTAAGTTGTCTTTGGCCACGTGGGACTTGGGTGTAGCTCGGCCAGGCACTCTCTGATCAGGCCTTCAATATCCTCTACTCCCAAGGTCTGCCCTCTATCCCCCAAATTTGAAATTTGAAATCCCTTCCCACCGACTTCCTCTGCAAGCACATCTAGACCCTTCGTTGTCTCTGAGATCGAACAGCTCGGGAGAAAGCTGAGATCTTCACCATCTTCTCTACCACCAGCCATCGAGGAGCTTGACCTAGCACGATTCTTCTGATGACATGCTTCTTCAGACGTGCGGGGAAGAACACATTCACCAGAATCTTCCAAAACCAACGTCTTGGTGCAGTCTGAAAACCCATTCTCTTCTCTCTGAACATACCAAGGCATCTCTTCTCCCCCTCTCCATC